TAACAAAGAGGTGCAACATTCATTACACAGTTTGCTACAAATGAGGTTGAAAGTGCATCTATTCTCTTGGTTTTAGTTACAGAAAGACAAAACAAGCTCAAATATACTAAGAATCCCTGGAGGGTTTTGTTTTGCAGAAAGGGAAATTTCAGAAAGGTTTAAAATAAGAAGAACAGAAATGAAGTTTGGAGAAGACCCTTTCTCCTGCAAGGTGGCAAGCTTGTGGCTTGTACAGGAACACATGAGGGAGCACAGCCTTGTCCTTGTCCTTCCCTGCCCTTGTTTTCCATCAGAGTGATGTTCTCACCCTGGCAGCTGAGACCAAAACGCTCAAACATCATATGAAATTTTAAATGTTAAAACCTCAAAATAAGATTTATTCACATACACAAAAAAAAGCAGCTCAAGTATCATTTTCTTGCCAAAATAAAATACAAGCCAACTACTTTGCTACGGTGCACTTGTGCCATTAACTTCAGCTACATCACTTTGCTTTGGGATCTCGCCTTTCACCAAAATAACTTGCACTTCTGCCCATAATTTCCCCTAAATCCAGTGCCTAAGGGAAGGCTGTAGGTAGTTTCCCACTTGATGTTGCACTGAAATTCTTCCAGTTGCTCTTCAGTTTGTGGGATGGGGGAGGAATGTGGGTGTTGAGCCACCCAACAGCCTGGACACCCCAGGGCTGCAGGGTCTCCAGCCTAACACAGGATATTGAAGGAACAGTTTGCAAGTGGCTGTAGAGAAACAACCACCTGCTGGTGTCCTGCTGAGGTACAGTGCAGAAAGATGACTATTTCCCAGGACAGCCTGGTTACAAGTGATAACCAGCATGGAGCAATATCCATCAGTAAATACTGAATCAAAACAAAATGTATCTTTTTCTAACTATGGCTACTTCCTAGAAATGTACATGAATCTTTTACGCCTGCTGGCCCTGAGGCCAGTTCATCTGTAGTGAAACGATACAGCCAAACATACCAGCTTTTGCAGGCTACCAAAACAAAGAGTATACTTCTTTTTCTTTCTTTTTCTTTTTTTTTTTCCCCAACCCCTTAGTTCTACTCTAGTCTCTTTTTTCTACTCTTGAGTCCAGTCTCAGATTTATCCCCCGGGCAGAACTTCTGTTTGCTCAGCGGGATGAGCTGAAAGGAAAGGACTTTGGAGAGAGTTTTAGTTCTGCAGGTAAGGGGGAAAGAAAAATAAAAAGAAAGAAAGGAAAATATCCCAATTCTCTAGGTTACATTGTTGGTTATATAACCCATCTCTCTGGTTATGTTTACGCTGCTTTAAATAGGGAACAGCCTGGAAAGAGCAGCCTGAAAAAAAACCCAACCCAACCCAACCCAATGGAGTCAGGAGGCGGTGCCCGTGGGAGCAGGTGGCCGGGCAGTGGGACTCAGCACGGGGACGAGGACATCTGGTCGTAGTCGGGGCACTTGAGCAGAGCGGGGTAGTTGCTGTTCATCTGCAGGGAGGCCTCGCTGGAGATCTCGGAGGGGCTGCGGCCGCGGGCCCAGGCGTCGGGCTGCAGGAACTGCCCCGAGTAGTCGGAGCAGTTGCTGAGGCGCGGGCGGTAGAAGCCGGGGTGCGGCCGGTACAGGTCCTCGGCCGTGTAGCGCTTCATGAACAGGTAGACAGACATCACCCCGGCGCTCTGCGGGGAGAGACACGGCCTGACCCTCGCCCCGCTGCCCCCTGCGCTGCCACCAGCACAGCACAGCGCGATAAGCTGCTTTCTTTTCCTGCTCCTGAGGACAGTGGTCACCTCAGCGCCCCGTGCCACAGTGACGTGGCACAGACACTTCTCAGAGATTCACAGAATCCCAGGGGTTGGAAGGGACTTGAAAATATCTCCCAGTCCAGCCCCCCTGCCAGAGCAGGGGCACCCAGAGCACATCACACAGGAACGTGGCCAGCGGGGTTGGAATGTCTCCAGAGAAGGAGACTCCACAGCCTCTCTGGGCAGCCTGGCCCAGGGCTCTGTCACTTTCACAGGAAAGAAGTTCTTCCTGAGATTCACATGGAACCTCCTGTGCTCCAGTTTGCACCCAGTGCCCCTTGTCCTATCACTGGACATCACTGAGAAGAGCTTGGCTCCATCCCCCTGACACTCACCCTTTACGTATTTATTTACATAAATGACGTTGCCCCTCAGTCTCCTCCAAGCCAAAGAGACCCAGCTCCCTCAGCCTTTCCTCTGCGTGGGACTCTTTCCAACAGTTCCCTGTCCTTCTTGAACTGAGGGGCCCAGAACTGATCACATATTTCAGATGCACCCTCAGCAGGGCAGAGTAGAGAGGAATCTCCTCCTCTGCATTCACACTTGGCACCAAATCATGGTGAAATCCCCCATGAGGGCTCCAGGCCTGGGGTCTGTCCCTACTGTATATGTCTCCTACCATACTATGTATTACCCATCTGCCCTCACAGTCTACCCTTAAACCCTATCTGAGTCCTCTTTTTGCTCAAGCCTCAATGCCCCCCACCCTGAAAATGAGATACACTCGCTGCAGGGATGTGACAGCTTCCAGGTACCTCTGTGAGAAGGAAGGAGATGGCAGAGAAGGCAAACGACCATCCATATTTGTAATTGAAGAACGTTTCTGAGTCCTTGGTCCTGTTCAGCATCTCATCATTAATGCTGGATATGTAGAGAACCAGCCCCACCACCAGAGACAGACCTGGGGAGAAACCAGGGAGAAAGACAAGTGGGAAATTCTTCAGGGATGAAGCTGCTGAAGAAGCACCTTCCTTTAAGACCTGACTTGTGGGTGAAAATGTGAAATGGTGGAAAGTGTACTTGGAATAGCTGGGGGAAGAGGCTGCTTTCGTGCTGAGCTCACCCAGGGCTCTCCTCTCATTTCACTCCAACCATTACCTGCTCAAGCAAGTCTGTGTGTGACAGGTGGGAGCTGCCTTCAAAGCTCGGCTGTCACAGACACTTGTTTAACACTGGCACAACACCATGAATAAAACATTCACTTGTCTCATCTGGAAACATCCTGGCTGTGCAGTTTGAAGTTTCAGATCTCCTCCGTAACCGAGAGAGAGAGGTTTCTCTCCCCCAGCAGCTGCTCCCATGGGGGTGGTGGGTGCTTCCCCTGTGTCTCCTCCCTGCTGCCACAAACCCATCTTGCACAGAGTGATTTTTCATCCTGCTAAGCCTGAGCAGGGACCCCCTGTGGATGATGACTCCAACCAGGAGCCACCACAGTGAGTCAGGAGAGCATCAGCAGCTGCAACAGCAAATGTGCTGCCTGCTCCGGGATTTTCAGGAGAAAAGCTGCCTAGCAAAACTCACCTGACAGGATGAAGAATATCCCTGAGACAAAGGCAAGGATAGTCCTGTGGGGCCGAACGTGGCCGATGTTGCTCAGGATGAAGCCGATGAACATGAAGAAGAGGCTGACAAGAGGGAAGGGAGTGGCAGAGCGGATCATCTCTGGGCGGAGAGGAGCAGAGGAAAACAAGAGCAGGTCAGTTCTCCACACACAGCACAGGGAATTGGCTGGGTGAAATGGCTCCAGCCTTGCTGCTCTCTGACCACCTTGGGTCCTTCTTCTCTCCTGGTTGATATGGGTGCCCCTGCCCTGCTCCCCAGGCCCTGGCAGGGCTTCCCTTCTCTTCAGTGTCTTTGCTATGAGCTGAGTCAAGAGGTAACTCTGTTTGTGGAAATGTCTGTTAGTGTTGGTATTTCCAAGACTGCTACATAGGAAAAAACCATGATAACCTGCATTTTTTTCTGACTTCACTGAAAAACTGTTTGCTGAACATTTCTGTTTATTAAATAAAAAATGACTGCAGAAATCATTGTGAGAGCTGTGACACTCCATCCTTAATTAGCCCATTCCATATTCAGTGTAAAACTGACTGCAACTGAACAAATACAGCTGCAAATTACAGAGAAGAGACATATAAAGCCAAACACTTGCATAAACATCAGCACTGAATAGCCAGAGAGAGGCAACTGTACAGCTTAGAGCCTCTGTGAGCATCCTGCCATTGGGAAGGGATGTCCCCAAAAGCCTGGGAGCACATCAGGTGGCTCACATAGTAAAACATGCAGTTGCATCCTCGGATGCACTGCCAGGGAAGCAGGAGCTCCTTCAGCAAGGCCTCAAGGGGTTTTCTTGGGGAGATCCCTAATGACACTCTAGTGCTTTGCAGGACACAAAAGGCAAGACCCCACCAAACCACTTACTCAGGACATTGACTGTGGATTCAGATGTCAGCTGGATGTTCATGGGCATGACGTATTCGATAGTGAAGAAACGCTCTTCCCCTGCAGCAAAGAGAGACCAAGTCACACCTGCAGTGGGTTTGCCTGTATAGTTCTGGTGGGAAGAAAGTGGCTTTACAATTAATTTCTGTGCATGCATAATAAATATTATTCTGCTTTTTAGTCTACTTCCATCTGGGTGTCAGTGTTTGGGTCTGAAGAAAAACAACTCGGCTACCTTTGTTAACAAAAACGTGACCCCTGAAGCCAGAGGATTTAAGATGATCCTGGGGGATGTATCAGAGCTCTTTGCTCCCCCAACTGTTCCCAAGAAGTGGTTGAAACTTCATGACATTTCAGATGGGTCACTTTGAGATTCCCATTCCCTTGGGCTTTGTTCAACTTCATCCCTGTAGCCAAATCACTTCATCAGACTTGGCAGGGACAAAGGGAACAGTCCAGCTGACCTGAATCCAAATATTGCAGGGACAAAAAGGAAAGTTTGGAGCTGCTGCCCAAGGCACTGGGACGGAGCTGGACAGGGGGCAGCAGGGTCTGGCACAGCAGCAGCAAACTCACCCAAAACCTGCATGCAAAGGCACATTTATCCATCTGGCTACTAAAGCTGAGCATGGGGTGATGGCATTACTGAGGCTGTGCCCAAGTTTGGAAGCAAAGACGAGCACAGCCTCTAAAACCCCCTATTTTCCCCACAGCACGATGCCGACCCGCAGCAAACACCACCTGACAGGGGATGGTTTGGGGAGGGAAGCCATACCTGCCAGAAAGCAGACCCTCCACAGCCCCGAGTGCAGGGACAGCTTGATTTCTGCCGTCTGGTTCTGGGGCTGCACGATGCCCTCCTCCAGGTAGAGCCAGTAGTCGGTGCTGACGGAGATGCCGAGGAGGCCAAGGCCGCAGACGGCGAAGACGCTGCTGAGCAGGGTCAGCGCCCTCCTGCTGCAGGCGCTCATCCCCGGGCAGCGGGGCGGCTGCGGGAGAGGGGACACGGCTGTCACCACCCAGCTGTCTAAGGCTTTTCTGGGGGGAGGGGGGGGGAGTGGGTGAGTCAAAGCTTTGCCTTAGATTTGCCTTAGTGGCGCCTTAATGGCTTATTTAGGGGTTGAGCTGAAAGGAGCCGTCGAAACAATCGCGGAATCGTGAAGGTTGGAAAAGCTGCCTGAAGGTCGTCAAGTCCAAATGTCAACCCAACATCACCGTGCCAACCAAACCATGTCCCGAAGGGCTATGTCCACAGCTTTTTGGAACATATCCAGGGTTGGTGACTTCACTGCTTCTCCAGGCAGCCTGTTCCAAGACACAGAGGGCCCTGACAGATCATGGAATCATTTTGGTTGGAAAAGACCTTTAAGATCATTGAGTCCAACCATTAATCTGACTCAACAAGCCTGGTGCTAAACTGTGTCCCTAAGCACCACATCTACACCTCTTTTAAACACTCCCAGGGATGGTAATTCAACCTGGGCAGCCTGTGGCAGTGTTTGATAATGCTGTCAGTGAAAAAGTATCTTCTAATATCCAATAGAAACCTCCCTTGGTGCAACTTGAGGCCATTTTCTCTCATCCTGTCAGAAGAAGGGTTTAAATCAAACCCCACCTGACTGGTGTTCCATGTTGGCTTGATACTCGTGGACGTGCTGGCACTGGAAGGGACTGTCACAGGCTGGGCCCATCCAGGAGCAGCTCATTAGTTCCCTTTTTTTTGTTGCAGGTGAATTAAAAAACACCAGCTGATTGCAGCACTTGTCTCCCCAAGGATGTAGCAGAACTGCAGCATCTGCCACCTTCAGAGCCTTACCTGCCAGCAGCAGCACAAGGATATCTCCTCAGCCTGCTGGAGATATGGAGCCTGCTCATGGACACCACATTCATGGATCAACAAAAATACTTTTAGCTGCCAGACCAACCCCACTATCCCAGGAGCTCTGGTCCACCCTGCTCCCCCAGCATTGCCATTTTGCCTCTTGCAGGGTGGATTTACCCATCAGAGGATTAAGATACCAGTTTTGCAAGAAAAAGATTACATTTATGCACACCGAGTGCCATCATCAAACACCACGACACAATAACTTGCCTTTTTTTTTGCTGTTTATTGTGTTTGCTGGATCTGAGCCACCAGCGCCGGTGTTGACTGAACACAGAGACTGAACTGGTCCCAACCCAGCTTGTGCTTTGTGGTCAGAGAGCTGCTGTCAGGCCCTGGGAAAACATTACACAAGGAGGTGAAAAATCTTCCCTCATCCCTCATATTGCTTAGGGATGTTTTTTTGTTTGTTTGTTTCTTTTTGGTATTTTTACTAACCTGTGGCACGTAGCAGCCCTCACAGTGCCTGCAGACTGGTAAAATGTCACCAGAAACCAGAGCAAAGTGCAATTAATATGGGGGGCACACACACACATGTGGAAAAAGCGACAGAAATGAAAGATTAGAGGAATAATAATAATAAGGAAAAGATTCGTGTGAGAGATGCTCTTCTGGGGAGTGGGAGATAGCACCACTGACTGCCTTTATAAACCCAGTGTGAGTCACAGATAAGTGCCATGCCATGTATATTTTGCAAGGCACATTTTGCTGTTGTTCAGCACTGCAAACAATTGGAAAAAAAATATAAATCCAGCTAGACAACAAAAGGTACCAAATTTAAACACATTAGCAGCAGGATGCATTGTCCTCAGGCTCCCTTTAAAATTGCACAGGGCTTGTTCATGCCATGTGAAGTTTCAAGGGACAACGAATGGGAGAAGGCTGGGTGCAGAGCACAGCAGCTCTACTGCCTGGGAAGGAGGGCAGAGTCCTCCTAAATTCACATTTCATTTGAAACACCTATTCCCCTAAAAATGCTGGCTGAACAATGGGACTGGGGTGTGCCTGTTGTACAGCTCCCCAGAGACCAGCCTCTGAGCCAAGGCAGGAATAGCTCCATCCTGCCTGCACCCAGCTCACGTTTGCTATCATGGCATGAGTTGCAGAACAGGATCTTTGGAAGAGAAATCTCATTATTGTTATCACTGCAGCAAAGTTGGTGGGATTTAGTGATTAAATGTGGTGAGGTGGCTCCTGCCCAGGCCAGGAGGTGACAGCTGGCTGTGCTGACACGGCTGGCTGGCGAGCGAGCTGGAGCAGGGCTTTTCTTCTTGTACCTCTGCTGTAAACACATAACACTTACTTGCAGCAACCCTCACAGATGCCAGAAGCCCTCACAGCTTGTAATTTTACACTTGAAAGCCTCCAAAGGGTTTTTTCCTGCTGCTGGGCTGGGTGCTCCTGGGGAGCTCTGTGCTCTCCTAGTGACCACCCCTGGCACCTGCACAGCACAAACACACCCCATCGACTCCACGACAGCTCTGTCCTGGGCTGGTCATTCAGCAGGTTTCATACAAGAATGATGTGAAGGAAATTTGTAGTTACTGTGAAGTCCAAATAACTGCATTGACCAAGGAAATGTGATTCCCCAAGGCCTGGCTGCACCTCCAGCTCTCTGCTCTGGGCAGGTCTAAGAGAAAAGCAGGGAATGCTGCTGGAAGGGCTGCAAATTCTTGAGTGAAGGATAGAAAGGGAGAGAGAGGCTTTTATTATTGCATCCTACCCTGAGCCCAAAGCAGATACGTACATCTTGGTAGGAAGCAGATGTACTTGCACTCTCAAGAGCTACAACAGCTTTGACAATTCCTTTCCTTGTGAAGTTAAGGATTTGGCTCTTCCTACGTTCACACTGAGCCGGTTCCCAGAAGGTACCGACCTACAGGAAGGGGGGTGCTGTCACTTGCAGACAGCTGAGCAAATGCTCCAGCTCATGCTCTCAGCAGCTTCCCACCTTTGGCTTTGCTAAACTAGCCTAATTTTTAACGTTCTTATTTAATGTTTCCCTCAGCCCAAGAAAAGCAGGATGAGTCTCTGGGAGGGACACCTCCTTGCTGGGAGCGTGAGGAGCAAGATGAGCAGAGGGGATGGTCAGATTTATATTTTTTTCCTGAGGAATTAGGAGGCACCTGTTAAAGAAGAACTGGTAGTTATGGGGCACAGAATCCCCTCCTGCAGAGGCAGACCTGCACCTTGATAGCCCGAAGAGAGCCTTACTGTCACAAAGCTGTAGATGTCAGGACACCACTTTATCCCTTCACTGGTGGGAATATGCCATTTCTCATTTCTTCATAGATCCCATTTGATCCAGCAATATGACCACCCCCACACAGATCTGCTGGCTCATCCATTCTTCTCCCTAACTCACAGCATTTACTACAGGGTGTCTCATCCCTCTTGGCATTTTGGTGCCAAAATGGTAAAAGGAGCTGGAATCTATTCTTGGCTCATATATGATCAACAAACATCCTCCGTGTACATTTTTTGTTAATAAGAAGATCAAAAAAACCAAGTATGGAATATGTGGAGTTGCAGACAAAACCATTCAGAGGGAAACAGCTGAGTATTTCCTGTGATTTGTTGTCCATCAACACCAGGCACTGGAAAATACACCCATTTGGCATAATTTAAACTGGTCATTGGAGCGATAGTAGCAGCAGGGAGAGGGGCAGGTGTCAGAGTCACACCTCTCAATTGCCTCATTTCTTTTCTCTCTCACACCTCAATTTCCCTGTAATCAAAGATGCATTAGAGAGTGATCCTGTTGCTGCCTTGCTGGCACATCACCTCACGGGAGGGCTGGGTGGCAGGGATGGTGCAACCACTCAGAACAAACCTTCTCCCATGTCCAGAGCCTGGACAATTAACAGACCTCCCAGGAGAAAGATTATTCAAGGACACGAGCAGGAGGTGGCTTGATTTTCAGCAAGGACTTACTCCCCAGTAGCCTTTACCAATTGTGTTGCCCTTCCTACAGCTGAAAAGGTGATGCTGTTTGGTTTCCAACAGAAGCTGTATTTTAAATTAAATTAATATAGCCCCAAAGATTTCCAAGAAATAGGACTTTAGAACTGTTCCTGCTCCTTCGATCACACTGTGCCTTCTGGTAGCAGTCCAGGGAATAATAAAGGCAGTCTGCAGTGTAGCCTGCAGTCCTCATAATGGATTTTTTTGTCTCAGAGCCATAGCTCCTGATGGAAACTGCACATGGCCCTTGCTGGGATTGACTCCTTTGGAAAATTAAATGAATATTAGTGTTCCTAACACAGTTCACCAAGGTCTAGGAGTGAGTCGAAGTCTTTATCTACTGCTCCATAGTCACAAAAAGAAAATATTACCCTGGTCCTGATTTCTGAGCCTACTCCTTCATGAGCTGACTCCAAACACAAGCCACTACTCTGGGCTACATGGATGGACTGGGAAAAATAAATATATTGCTGGTCAGCTGCCTGGACAGGATGAGTCAAATCAATAAATCACTGCTCTGAGTTCAGCAGAAAACAACCCCCCTCCTGTCCTGGGTAAAGGTAGACAGAGCAGGGCCATGCCAGGCCAAGGAGGCAGCTATTGATTTTTTGTGTCTAGAGCAGCATTTCCAATTTCCTGCCATTTGTGAGGAGGGGAAGCACAGCCAAGGTTATCAGAGCAGGCAGGAGGAAAGGCTGGCAACCTGGCTCTGCGGGTGTGGGAACCTGTGCCCAGCACAAGCCAAGGGCAGAGGGAAACCAGAGGTTAAGGCAGGGACCCGGGCAGGGGCAGAGGCTAAGCAGAGCATAAGGGAGGAGGAATGAAGCCTGGTGGAAGGGGGCAGGAAACCCACTGAGTGAGTAATTGATATACAGAGAGCAGCAGAGACCTGGGAAAGAGCTGGCCAGTGCAGGAGAGCAAGCTCTGGTGGAGCTGGGCTGAAAGGACCAGCTCCCACTAAGCTGCAACAAGAAAACCAGGCTGGCTAAAAATAAAGGGCCTTCAAGCAGCATGATCTGTTCCTCAGGACACAATGCAGGCCATGAACGCGGGCAAAAATAAATAGGTCAAGGAGAGTGGCTCTTTCCAAGCTAAACTCTTCAGAGCTGCCAGCACTCAGCCAGG